CCTTTCTAATCATTCCCAAGTTTAAATGTTAGAATGTTCTAAATGAATAGGGCGTAGGGAGGATAACTGGAAATGGAACACAGCAAGGCACTATGCTACTAATTACAGCTCTAGATATGTAGTTGCAGGCGTACAAGTTTGTGATGCAGTTTACGAAAGTTTGTTGGAATGAAGAATTTGGGAACGCAAAATCAATGAACTATGTTTGTAGCAATGGAATTTCCATCATTAGTCAACTAAGGTTGCTTTTCAGAAACACACCCCAGGTCATTATCTTTTGATGTCGCTGGGTACTACTTTGTAAGACAACTTTCTTTAAATCCTAGAGTTTAAAAAAAAACTAGATCCAATAACCATGCCAGGTTTAAAGTCATATAAATCGCCTCTCTGATTTGAACTTCACCAGGGGTCTCATTTATAAAAAGGTGTAGAAACCTTCCTAAAAGTAAACAAACACTAGAATCATTTGAATTTATTTATCAATAATTGATGATTTAATATACAACGGTTTAAAGTGGCGTAATTAAGGTAATATTTAGGTTAAGTATGTTTACTTGGAGTTTACATCTGCGCACATTCTCACATCAAGTTTGTTTAGCATGGGAAGTGGTGTACACACTTTCCACCCCCATTTTGTGTGTATGCCACATTTCAAAATAAGACATCTTGACCACATCTACATGCCTAAATACACTAAGAGCTGCTGCCTTGTGATTGGCTGATCAGAAAGGTGTGATGTACCGGATAAAGTGTCCAGTAGGTGTATATTACTCAATATAAATCTTACATAACCCCAAAAACATACCATACGGAGGTTTTTGTTCCTCAGATGAACACAAGTCTTCCTCCTCCAACAGTCTGCCATAAACAGCAGAGTAGATATTCAGCACTTTTGGATACTTGCAGTGCAGCAGAAGTCGATCACCCTCGCATGTTACTTTCCTCTTGTGCTCAGCTGTAAAACAAATTTTATTTCTAACGTCGAGGAGTAAATATTTGAACAGGAAATAATCAATTGAGGCTTTAAAGGAGGAAATACTCACTAGGTTTACACCTGTATGACACATTGATGTATTTAGGGATTCCTGGACAAGGATCTTTGCCAAAGACTTGATGATTAACCAGAAACTGGCAATCTCTGTGACCTTGGCATTCAGAAAGCACTTTCTAATAAGGAGGGATAGACTGTGTGTTATAAGCAGGGAAAAGTACAGTAGCCTCCCTCGTCCTGATTCTGGATATGTGTTACTTCTGTAAGCCAGAAATGAACATGATCGGCTCCCACAGGAGTCTAGTCTTACAACAAAACCCTCTTGGGTTTGCTTTTGCGGTGGGACTACATTAAAGCTTCTAAAACAGGTTTATTAGTGCAAGCACAATTAACGAGGCTCTATGTTCATATCGTTTTTATATCAATTGCTTATATATTTCCAAATATAAATGAAACATTAATCTATTAGTTATCTAAGCTGTTAGTTACGAGTTAATTGATTAGGGTTATTAGTAACTATAAACTAAAAAATATGGGGTTATTTTTTTCTACCCAAATCTTGGGTTGAGGCATTTGGGTAATTTTTGGGGGTTATTTTCAGAGCCTTGGGTAGTTTCATTTCAGCTCTTGGGTCAAATCAACTCACAGCAGGGGCTGACTGGGATATCACATATTATGTACTAATTTGTTTAAATGCAATGAAAATAGCGTAACATAAACACAGATTTCTTGCGTTTTCAGATGATTAAAATTAGATTTATGCTCATAGCAGCGCTTAGTCAGACCTTTCTGGATTAAAAAAATTCTTACTAGCACCTTTTGTACACCTGTAATCAAAGCTGCACATCCCCCACCGTACTTCAGTGATGCCGAGTCAAAGCAACACAATTGTTGGGTCATCTTTCGCAGGCATTTTCGGATCAAATTAACCTTTTATTTAAGTAAAAATTAACCATTTATTGGGTAAAAAAAAAAAAAATCATTTATGGGGTTAAAAATAACCCAATTACTTGGGTTAATTTAACCACGGGTGTGTTCTGTCCTATATTTACCCAGCAGTAGGGTTAAAAACAACCCAATTTGGGTAGTTTTTAACCCTGTGTGCAATAAACTTTTCTGAATTTGATTGTATTGCAATAATGTGCACCTTTTGTAAAGCTGCTTTGAAACAAGCTGCTTTGATTGTGAAAAGTGATATACAATTAAACTTGAATACAATTGAATTAAAACACAAGATCTTTCCACAGTTCCTTTGTCCTGTGGACTGATTTTAATGAAAAGGCAACTCAGAAGTTTTTTTTTGTTTTTTTGTTTGCAAAGAAAATCAAAAGGATGTGAAGTTTACACATGTTCATGTGAACGTCTTTGTACAATGTCCAAGATAAGAATAATCTTAACGTCATCTCAGCAGCATGGCGGCACCTGGAGGTTAGTTTTTAGTATATCGCTGCTCGGGTATTCCAACTAAAACTTTTCTTTCTTTATTTGAAATAGAAATATGCATCTCTGCACTAAATCGTGTTTAGTCTTTAGTACATCATGTTGTACTAGTGCATGCAGGAGCAGTACATTTTTGTTGGCAGTCCACTTAACAGTAATAAACAATAAAAAACAATATTAAACTTGTTCAAAGTTAAACTTAACAATAAACTTAACAATAATAAACTTGTTCAAATTCTAAATGCAGAAAACTTTAGTGTTGTGCTTCTCACCTGCAGTGTTGTGGAAGCAGAACAGCTGTGGTTATGCCATTGGCATCTCATTCTTGGCTCAAGTCCGACCAGGGTTTCACTCTGTCCATAAAATGCAGACTGAATAGTTATGGTGGAGTGTCGTGGACACTTGAGGATCAGCAGATCTCCATCACAGGCTTGAGCTGATTGACTTTTGATGATCCTAAACAGATAATCTAACAAAATATAACATTACATTGCTCTATTGATCTACTGCAATTCTGAAATGTGTTAGGAAATGCATTATCTATCTATCTATCTATCTATCTATCTATCTATCTATCTATCTATCTATCTATCTGTCTGTCTGTCTGTCTGTCTGTCTGTCTGTATCTGTCTATCCGTCCGTCCGTCTGTCTATCTATCAATAAGAGTCTATCTATCTATCTATCTATCTATCTATCTATCTATCTATCTATCTATCTATCTATCTATCTATCTATCTATCTATCTATCTATCTATCTATCTATCTGTCTGTCTGTCTGTCTGTCTGTCTGTCTGTCTGTCTATCTGCCTGTATGTCTGTTTCTGTCTGTCTGTCTGTCTGTATCTGTGTATCTGTCTGTCTATCAATATGTTAGTCTTTCTGTGTCTGTCTGTCTATGTATGTCTGTCAGGAATATTTAAAAGAAGAATGATTTGATGAGATTTTGACTTGACATATAGACATTAAAATATGGGTTGGAGTGCAGCCCTAAAATACGAATTAAATGTCAAAAATTACTTGGGTTTCTGCAATTGTCAGAATGAAGCATTTAATTATTTAAAAAAAAAACATAATACAATATAATATTACTTTTAATAACAGATCAGAGAAGTAATTTAATTTTGGATGAATACAGGCTACATAAATGACAGTGACATTTAATTTTGACAGGTTATTTGGAAAAAAAATTAGACACTAATATAATATGCGTTCTCTGTATATGTAAAACTAATCTTGTACATTTATGAAACCTTCATGAATAAGTACTTGACTTACTTGAGAAATCCGAGAGTCCGTCCATCTCTTTGGTCCACAGTATGAGTACACTGTAAAGTATTTGAAGACAGAGCCCAGGTGCACGGCAGCTTCTCAGGTGCTGCGCTGAGATCATAGTCACAGTCTGCAATTATTTCTGCATCAAATCCGCGTGCATTCAAGCGCGTGCTGGAGAAACGCTCGCTGTCACAAACTCCCGTGTTCCTCTCCCACCTGCGGTTACTCTCACCCGGCTAAAGTATGTCTTCATACCGCGACTCGGACATCCCAGTCCTCAAGAGCCAAAGCGAACTCCTCGGTAGCCTTTCTCCTATAATTAAAATACAGTCAGAAGATTTAAGGCGGAAAGAAAACATTTGTAAGCGACGCAGTCACTGTGTTGAAGCCTGAAATGGGGAAATAGCAAGTGCGCAACAAGTCAGTGGTACCTAAAACCGGCGACTTTGCATTGTTATTCGGTTGTTGATGGTTTTGTGGTCACCGGTGAGACTTCTTATGGTACCAGGACGTGTTTGTTTTGACACCCAGAAAGTGATTTTTGAGTAGGATGAATAACAATTTTAGACGGGGCGTGGCGGTAAATGGCTCAAATAGGCAGTGGGTAGGAGTTGAGAGGCACGGGCTTGGATTTTATAACCAATCTGATCAAAGTGTGTATTTTTATAGTTATTAAATAATCATTTATTGATTTAATAATTAATCAATTGAATATAGTCAACAAACCGAGTGTTTCTGAAGCAAAACTTTATAAAGTCAACAACATATAATTTAAAATATGTAATAAGTCAATAATATAGCCATATGTTTGCTTGTCTTGTTTTGAAAGTATTGTATTACGTATGTGTTTGTGAGTTCGGTTAGATTATTATTAAGACGTTTAGAATGAAGTGAAAGTGTTTCTCCGGTGCAGCAGAGGGCGCTGCGTGGTGGTCAACTTAGCTGCAAGTTCACAGAAGAACTGCTCCCGCGTACGTTTGAAAACACAGGGTGTTCAGATGGCTGGCAAAATTAAAATCCCCGATGAATGTAGCCATAAAACATACTCTGTTTGCGAGAGTACCGCTGACAGCAGGAGTAGAGTGGAGGAAGATGGAGAAAGCGACGGTCCAGCGGTGTTTATGTGCGGCAAATGCAAGCTGCCAATCGGAGACAGTCTGTCCTGGGCTGGCAGCGATGATGAGAACAACCAAATCATGCTCAAACGTAACTATTCTTCCATTCAATTGTGTTATTTATGTAAAATACTAGTTATAACCATGTTTTGATCAAACATACTAGTTTTGTTTTGTTGAATAATTTCAAAATGTTATCTGTAGTCTGATAGAAATAATAAAAACAGTAATATTTGTATACACTTGTTTCAATTCTGAAGTTGTTTTACATTTAGATGTATATTAATTCATGACACTGTAACACAGAGTTTAGCAGTAATATGTCTTAAAGCTTATATCTTGACTTTTACATGTGGATTTTTAGGGATTACTGACAACATTGTTGTAGGCAAAGAGCCATTTGTTTCTGGGACCCGAAAGGAGCTTGGATGGTGAGGATGAATTTTTCATAATTTACTGTTTCACACACACATCTTTGTGTTTGTTATATATACAAAAGAGCAAGTGATTTATGTTATTTTGTTTTTTTTTCTGACAAATTAATATGAAGTTTTAAAATGACAATTGAATAATACTCTTTTTTTTGTGGCTGCATGTATTTATATCCTACCTTAATTCATAAAATTTGTAGGAAAGTATTACAGCATATTTAAAGAAGTTGGTACAATTTTTTCTGGCAAAAATATGTTTTTTGCACTGTTTGGAATTTAGTTCATAATGAAAATGTATGATAGTCATTGTTTGCTATTAAAGAAAAAGTTAAATTGGACTGGACATGCAAAAAAATCAACAATCCCCCCACACATTCTAATGTCATGGAAAAAAATGACATTTTACTGCACTGTAAAAAGCAGTTAGTTAACTTTACTTTTAAAAAAAGTGAGTAAACCCTTTTCTGTTTAAAGTGATTGACTTTATTTTAAAAACTATGTTAATTCATTGGCTCAAATTAAGGTAAATAAACTATATTCATGGGCGTCACATTGACGCAGTGGGTAGCATGATCGCCTCACAACAAGAAGGTCACTGGTTTGAGCCTTGGCTGGGTCAGTTGGCATTTCTTTGTGGAGTTTGCATGTTCTCCCCGTGTTGGCATGGGTTTGCTCTTGGTGCTCCTTTTTCCAAAGTCCAAAGACATGCATTATAGGTAAATTGTTTAGGCTAAATTGTCAGTACTCTATGTGTGTGAATGAGTGTGTATGGATGTTTCCTAGTGATGGGTTGCAGCTGGAAGGGCATCCGCAGTGTAAAACATATGCTGGATAAGTTGGTGGTTCATTCTGCTGTGGCGACCCCTGATTAAAAAATGGACTAAGTCAAAGAAAACTGTGTGAATGAACTGTTCATAGTTATAAAGATTAAGTCAATTCAGTAGATCCAAGCTAAAACCGGTTTAATCACTATTTTTAAGTAAATTCTTTAAGGCAACAGGTTTACTCGCATTGTCTAGTCAAGTAACTAGTCACTTTTTACAGTGTATACCTTCATTGTTTAGATCAGCATCTGTGTAAATTTGTCTCTCGCATTCAGCCTTGTTGTGAATCTCACCTGCCGTGGCTGTTGCTCAGAATTAGGAGTCATGTACATATCAACCCCGAAAAAGCTGGATTGCAAGAGATCCCTTTTCTGCTTTAATGTGGAAAATATTGAAAGGTACATAACCTGTTGCACATGAGCTTGTATTGTTTTTATTTTTGTTAATTTCTAGATTTTTTTTTATTTGTGTTAATTCATGTGTATCATGTCTCGATTATGTATCTAGCTATGTAGTGGGAAGTCCAGGCCAGCAAATGCCAGAATTAGACAGAGAAGACAAACCAGTGACCCTGGAGTACCAGGACACTGTGCATCAGCAGATGACAGAGGTAAAGCAGTTCATCTGTTTAAATTATTGATATGTGAGCATGATGCAAACCAACGTAAATCGCCTTCTCTGCTCTCAAATAAGCAATTTCGTTATCATTGCATGTGGAGACATTTTTGGATTGGACAAGTTGCATCAAGTTGCGTTTTTGTAAAAATTGCAGCGTGTTTTGTTAATTTGTTTGCACTGTGGGAAAATGCAGTGCGTTTTTTTTTATGTCTATGCATTGTAAGGATTTGCAGCACGTGTGCTGTTAAACCGATGAAGATCTTTTCTTAATTTTTGTGTTTTGTAATTGCATGTGTTTCTTAAATTGTAGCACGTTAAGCTCTCTTGGCCACCATAAAAGCATTTTAATAACATGAATAAATTTTAGCTAAGAGATAAAACGCTTTATTTTTAGGAGTCCTTTTTACGTATGTTTTTTGTAATACTATAGCAATTAGAATTAATTATGCATAAATTCATGCAACTAACCCTATCCATATAGTAAGTACATGTCATTAATGTTACTCAGTAGCTAAATGAATAGTTAAATGGTAACAAGGACATCTTCAAAAAAGTTTAACTTGGTTACGCTGCAAAAATCTTCTAATAAAATGTATTATATGAATCAAAACATGGAACATTCAAAGGAATGATAGTATATATGTACACTAATAACTATACATTGTCATGCATTTCAACAAATTGAACTAAGTTTCTTGAGCATGTGTTGAGTATTTTTGAGAATTAGTTAAACTATAGTTTATCTACAAAATATCGAAATAATAACAACGACAAAATTAGCTGATTCACTGAACTGATTTATACAGAACTGTTGGATTTATCTAGAGCATTTACGGCAAGTATATTATAAGTAGGTGTAATTAAAATATGAAAAAATTACCAGTTACTTCTAAGTGTATAAGTAATTAAATTACAGTAACCAGTTACTTAGTAAGTCATCACACCCAGCAATGAACTAAAATACAGAAAGAATAAAAAAAGAAAAAACTAAGGTAAATCGATAAAAACTGAAATTGAGAATGTAAATGATAAATAAATATTTGAATAATAAAATTTTTTTATTTGAATCAAATCATGGAATATTTCAAAGGAATGATATAATATATGTACATACTATACATTATCAAAGCATGTCTCTTGAGCTTGTGTTGAGTATCCTTGAGCATTAGTTAAAACTAGTTTCTCTACAAAATATCCAAATAACAATAGCAAAAAAATGTATCTGATACACTGAACTGATTTATACAGAACTGTTGAATTTATTTAGAGCATTTAAAGCAAGTATTATAAGTAACTGTAAATAAATCACCTAAAAATTAAGAGTTATTTCATTGTTTTAAGTGTATAAGTAATTAAATTACAGCAACTAGTTACTTATTAACTCATCACACCCAACAATAGACTAAAATACAGAGTAAAAAAGAAATAAACTATAGGTAAAAATATTGATACAAACTGACATTTAAAATTTGTGTGCATTTTTAAAACATAAAAGCATATTAATCATTTTTGAAAATAAAAACTAAATCATGCATGCACAAAAGTAATGTATTCTTTAAAATAAGAGTTTTGGAAAATAAAATATGTCTTTTAAAGCATGGGTTCCCTAACCTTTTAGCTTTTGACCCCTAACAAACCATTCCAGTGACTCGAGACCCCCACTATACTTGGAGGTGGTATAGTAGGAACTATATAAACAAGCTAATTGACAACACAAAGAAGTGCAACAGTCTAACAACCATATCATTTTAATAGTCATTATTCACTTGTTTAATTTAATATTAACCTCATCTTAATAAGAATGGTGGCCACAATGTTTACAGCACAATACTTGGTTTAATTTTGGAGACCGCCACTTTGAAATCGTCCTCTGTTCAGTCGTGGCCTTTATTTTTAATGTATATAAGGTAAAGGTGTGCATTAAACCATAAAGGTGTCAAAGTTTAACATTGTGTCGTAAAATCAGTCTGCTGCAACTAACACTATTGCTGTCTCAGTAACCTAGCGTAATCAGTACAGGGGCTGCAATCTAATGGAAAAAGAGTTGAAAAGCTGATGGCTTTTGATTTGCATGTAGATTTTTATGTAACTATTGAATACTGTTTTTTTATCTTTTGCAGGTTATAGCTAAAACATGGTATTTCTAATAGTTTAATAACATGTGTGGTATTTTTAGAAATCAACAAGAGGCCCCTAATTTGGGAACCACAGTTTTTTATAGTGCTCAAGTGAACAGCAGATGGCGCCCTTGTGGCGCTGCTGGTGCTCTTTGTTTGGTCACTGAGTCCAGCAAACAATAGATATTAGGAGCTGTTAAAGAATTTGGTCTAGGAAAGGGTGATGACAGCTGTGTCTGTTTGCTATATATTAATGTTATGTTTTAATTACATCTATCATGTCGATGTGTATGGCAAATAAATCAAATGAAAACTTCTGATAAGAAGATTCCTGTGGGTGATGATGAAATGTCTTCAGCATCGTGTGAACGAATGCTTTAGTGATTTTACTGATATGTATTAGTACTTTGTGTTCTGCCAATTATGTTTTATCATATTAAATTTCAAAGTCACGTTCCCTGCTCTCTGTCTGACTTCCTGTTCTTTAATGTGTCTTTCAGATAACATCTCTAGCAGTGATAATAGGACAACGCCTGCTGGAGATTGAAAATAACCTCCAGTGCAGTTCAGAAAAAT